TGGTGTTATGAGACCCTTTAAACAAATATTAAAAACATCCAAATGGCCTTCTTCTGGTCCACATTTTTCCAAAAGACCTGTTTTTATGAATAGTTGGGTAATGGTCTACAGTGTCTTAGCCTAGTGAATGTGATTGAAATGATGTTAAAAGACATAAAAACCTTATGTACACACATGAACATGTACGCATGTTAAAGCCAGAAGGAAAGAAGTGAGTGAAGGCGGTGCACAGCAGCCTTAGATAAGAGAGAAGAGGAGCTGCTCTGCCTCCACAATGAGTTCTGAGCTACACAGAGAATACGCTGAGCAGAGAGGCTTCCATTAGTTTGAAGAAAAAGTGTGCACGTGTGTGCACAGTTGTGACTTGGCTGCTGTGGTCCTAATGAGAATGAAGTGTGTAGAAGAACAGAGTGGTATGTTATTGCATGGTTTTTTGGTGTGTTTTTTTCAGGTGGTGCATTCCGAAATAAGGTCCCATAGAGACTTCGCCTCTCTGTTGAGTTTATATAAGAATTGAAGTCTGCCAGTGCAGATTCCAAAGACATTGTTTACGGTCCCTGGAACAGTGGGACATGAACCGCTTCCAGCCCCTCTGCCCCTGCCTTCAAGGACCATCAGATTCTCTGACTTTTGGCATAGACTTAGAACTGATATACTGACGGTGACATTCCTAGGTAGAACTGGAAATCAATTTATTTGGTTTTATTTGACTGTAAAAAGTTCCTGATTAAGGAGAAAGGGGCTGTCCTTTAAAACTGGCAGTGCTGGGTAGCCTGTCCCTCTCTCCCTTTTTGTCAGGGCCAGCTGGTCCAACAGCACTATATATAGCTGACTTTGACCTCCAGAGCTGAATCGGGCTCATAGAAAAAAGTGACAGAGCACAGGGATAACTGACAGATGAGCAGTAGAGAAAGAGGGGAGCGTCAGACGGAGAGAAGACGACGCAGATGCTGTTAGCTGTCTTTGCTGCCAGTTTGCGTTTATTCAGTTAGTGGGCAGTGATGGGGGATCCTGCCATCCTGCTTGAGTCCGTTACATCTCCTGTTGTCACGGCGATCCCCACGTTGATAGCTGGGGTAACGCAAGGTGAAGGCAACTTTCGTTCAAGGGCTTCTAACGAGGTTTCTTCGATGGCTGGAGTTCATTGTGGGGGGGGGGGGGCTGGCGGTTGGTTGCTAGTTGATGGATTCAGTGAGGAACATAGTGCCGTTTTAACTTGAACTTTTTCATATGGATGTCTGTCTCTTTAGCCCAGAGGGTATTTGTCAGACTACACACAATTTGGATGGTAATATGTAACCAAATAATGGGTTAACATTTAGGTTAGTTATGATATTTAAGTAGTAAGTGTTATGTTTTTGTTCAGACTGAGGTTAAACTGCAATGTTACACTGTAGATTTTAATATACCCTGCTATGCCAAGTACTGTGAGCTATGTGTGTTGAAGTCGGTTGCATAACGCTTGACCTCGCTCCATGTAACAGACTCCAACACCTGTTCATTCTCTTAGCTGCAGTCTTTTTCACATTTGCATTGTGGGACTTCAGCACCCATGGGACAACTTGTTTTGGCTTTGTTATGTTTCCATCACCTCATAGCCTTTCCCTCAAGCCAGTTCTGATGGATTATTGCAGATGCAGGTGATGACATGATTCCTTATAGACAAGCCATGTTTGAATGTAACACTTCCCTTATAGTCCATCAGGTCTCTCCACCTAAGCTTGGTTAGTTCTCCTCCTGTTTGAAAGCAAGGAAAGGGTTTTAACAATTATGGTGGGAAAAAGGTCAAGAGATGGCGGCGCAAAGGTTAACCAATTAAGCTCATCCCAGATTAACAATATATTTTAACAGGGTTATTTTTGGTAAGACATTGAGCCTTTTATATAATTGGTAGTGTTCCCTCTGTGATGCAACTAACATTGGCTGCCAACTTAAACATTTAAAAACTGTTTATATGAAGATGTGCACACTAACACACACATAGTGTGCGAGTGATGCATTAGCTGATATTGGTTTTTGATAGATTTGTGACATTATTATCTTGAATGTACAGCATGACTTTGAGTTTGAATGTGACCCTGACATCATCTACTGGCTTTTGGTTGCAGATGCTACCAAAACCTCATCAGCCAATAAGAATGGGAAGAAGGCTGACTCTGGGTCCAGCAGCAGCTTCTTCACCTGGTTCATTGTCCTGGCCCTGCTGGGTGTGTGGACCTCGGTAGCTGTGGTCTACTTTGATCTGGTCGACTATCAGGGAGTCCTCGGTGAGTATTGGCTGCCTCACAAATGTGTGTGTTAAAGAGTAGCTGACAGTGTCTTTCTGCATTATCTCACACTTCATGCACGCTGCTGAAAAGGTGTGGTAGCCCTATGGAATTTCTCTCCCCTCACATACAGGTCTGTCTACATACATGTGCATCTGTCACCTGTCTGAATAAGAACCAGTCTGACTATGATTTACCATTGTCACATAACAAGCAGTGTTTCCAACAGTGTTCTACAAATGTACAGTCGTTCATACGCCTATGCAGCTCTGTGCATAGGCGTATATTTGACCTCCTACTTGAGTGTTTTTGTGTCGCTAAAGTGCTTATCCTCAACCCACACCCTTCATCAGCTGCCAGCTGAAAGGATACACTGAGCAGTAATTCCCAACCTGACATTAGTCTACTTCAATACACCGTATTTATGAAAATGGTTCTCAAATCTGTCTGAAAAAGATAACATGAGTCTCTCAAATCAAGTGAAGAAAGAAATTGGTCAAAGAACACCAGTCAATGTTAGTTTAGTCTTTGAATACACGTGGGCATATAAATGTCATAGCTTATAGAACATCACCATTTTCATCTTTTGATTGTAAAGTTTTTTTAATTTGATAACGGTTACATGGTAACATTATTATAGCACCATTGCAGAAACACTCTATTTTCCCACACCAAACATTGTTATCCCTCAGGTCTGTAGCGTGTGGACCATCAATTAAAACCTCATCTATATTTCCTGATTTCTACTGTGGATGCATGTCTGTCATTTCTTATCACAGGATACTGTCTCTCACTAATCGGCATCCTTAATTATTAATTTTCAATTATTTATTTGTGAATTATGGATCTCTTGTGTCTTATTTCTTAATCTAGCTAAGGCTCCAATGTGTATGTTTTTTTTTGTTGCATGCAGACAAGGCTAAGGGCTTACAAATTAACCTGTCTGAAGCCTTGCAAGGTAAAAATCACTGACATATTTCTATTACCCGTATTTACATGAATGATTGTTGTCTGTGGTGATTATCCTCTCAAAATATTGTCCTCACTCCCTTACACACTTCTCAGAGCCCTGGATCTAAAAAATGGAGACGCTCCTTTTCAACAGTGTTAGGTTATGCTGGCTGGTAGTAATGGTAAAGGAACTCTACACAGGTCTATTGTGTTGAAGTATTCTTAGACGAGGCCAGTCATAAAAGGTTTAGGGTCTACATTAGAAACCCATTGAAGTGACAACAATGTGGCTGCCATATTAAGACTTGACTGTGATGCATGGATCTGAGCTTCATGTTATGTATTTGTTGGAAGATTATTTAGAAGTAGCTATAATGACAATTGGAGAAGAAAGTCCTATCCCTGTCCTGTAGGGTGCGCCTATCTCAAATGTTATGTTTGTCACTTACGCAACATCACAATTGGAGGTATAATAAATGTTAACAAAGATGTACCATTCTCTTAAGAATTGTTTTGAAATAGAGTTATTGATAACTATTTCTATTAAACTAACTTTTCTTTGTGCCTGACAGTAATATAATAAAGAGAATGACAATTTGTCAGTTACTGCTTTAGATCCAGGGCTTCTGTTTCAGCTGTTAATAGAGTGGTGCAGGAACGAGTCCTAAAACAGGAAGTGAGTTAGCATTTTACTACCGGTTCCCTCGTCTCAGAGCCAATGGGATTTCTCCATAGGATTTTGGAAAATAGCTGGAAATAAGGTCTGTTTGACACAAATTGAAGAGACGGATCACGTTTTGTTCTAGGACATTAAATCCATCAGCAGTGACCCCACTGGTGATTTTTGAAGAGTTTACGTGTCTGAAAAACGATGGTTGTTACCAAGTGGCTGAATAGGACTACAGAAGTTGTGGAGGACGTTGTACGTCATTACGCCGAACACGTAAACACTCCTCTAAGTTTGTTTGCCCTGTTCTGCTTGAAAGCAAGTACCTGCTAACTGTTCAAACAAACGCTTCAACTTGTACAATTTAGAATCTGTATTTTTGAATATGGATCTTAAGTTGGCGTGACGTTGAAGCAGCGACCCTGCTGTAGTTCGATTATAGCATAATGTTAGCATTTTGCTTCTGGCGATAAGATTTATGATTGGAAAATTATAAAAGTAGGTTATACATGTGGGTATTATCCAGCTGAACAAAACATGCATTTATCAAACAGCTTCGTTTTCCACAGACCTTATTTTGAGCTATTTTCCAAAATCCTATGGAGAAATCCCATTGCTTTTTTGTCATGGGAACCAGCAGTTTACTTCCGGGTAACTACGTCATCCCTGCACCACTCTATAACACACTGTTTATATCCAACAGTGTCATATTGCTTTCTGTTTACTCTAAGACATGTCTAGCATGAACCCCCTTTCTGTTGCCTCTGTTTTAGTACCCTCTATCACTATATCTTGACCCCCCTCACATTTAAAGACATTCACCAAGCTGGTTGTAACCTTTGCTGATATACCCATTTAAACAAAGAGCACAGCCACTATGAATGTGGTTTAATGAATGATACTAGAGTTAAGATAAGCTTGGTGCATGTCTTGAGTGTCTGTCTGTGTGGAATGGTGCATGTCAATGTATAGTAAAGCTGTGTCTTGATTTCTCCTGTGAGTACAAACTGTAAGTCTACATGTGTTTGTTACTGCTGTAGGTAAACTGGTCGCATACGATACAGATGGCGATGGTGATTTTGATGTCGAGGATGCTAAAGTTCTGCTAGGCAAGTTGATTCATCTCTAATTTACAACTAATGTTGGTGTTTACGATCAGTGCTTTGCATTAGTGGAATCTCTGTCTCCAGTGCCAAACATCTGGAGCTTCTCACGGCATTATGGGGACGAGGTGCCTGACCCCCAGTCATCATGCAAGCGGAACATACTTGCTTGAGCATTGCTGGCCACATGATTTCGTGTTCCTTAATTACATTTAACAGTGATTTGGGTTTGTCTAGCATGACTGACTATTAAAAAGCTGGCAGGTATCATAGAGAAAATCTCATCAATGAAAAGCCAACTCCTCAAATCCTTCCTACCTCAGTACCTCTGTGCAGGGTTGCGTGTTTCTGTAACTGCTTTGTTATCTTAATTAACCCACTTTGAATGTCTCTAATTGAAAAGAGTATTAAAGTCCAAATTGGTGTAAGATTCTTAAAACTAAGGTCACAACAAGAAGGTAGGTGCTCCTGTCCCCTTTTTAACGAAAGGTCACCGGAGGAGTTTATGGCTAACAGTTTTCTCACATGTACCTAATGAGTTCCTCTGGCTAATTTTCATTGTATATAATTCATATGACACTTTGAAGACAACTAGGAGAAGATGATAAAGTGTAGGTTTCAGTGTGTCCTGGGTACTGTGATTCCCCATGTGATGCCTGCTGCATGACACATTTCTGTGTTCAGTTATATGACTCTCCAACATACTGAATGCTGTACACTAGCTTAACATGTTGGACCAGAGCTGTATGCAAATGGCTTCATTCCAATACAAGAGTCAACATGTTGAACTGCATAGAATATAAAACATTCATATTTTTGTACCACTATTTCATATGAATATGTTGTGCCTAGTATACTGCTCTCTTTCCTCTGGCTCTAGTCAGGCATGAGAATCACAGATTGTTTTTGTCTCAATCTTTACATCTCACACGTGTACTAGGCTATATTTGAATGTACAGACAACACTTTGCTTGTTTTGCAATATTCAAAAAACTAACTATTTGGCTCTTAAAGAAAACATTTAGAATGCTATCATTACGCGCAGTAATCTTTGCTTGAATCTTCCCTTTCGGAGGTACTTGCGTTCCAGCTTTTGCTCTGTTTTGTCAGTTGTTCTCATAGAAAGTTCTAGGCAAAAGGTGGAACTTAAGCCCCGCCCACTTCCAGCCTTTCTATCCCTCCAGCAATCCATCATCCATACCACCCCTACACTAATAAGCTCTAACAATTTGTAAACACTTCAATCTCACAGTTTGCTTCATGGCATTGTTATGCATGCTCCAATACATATATTTTCCTTTTCACATTTATTTTGATACCTTTTGTTTCCTCTTCTTTGTCTTGTGTATGAGTCCGTCCCTCCATAGATTTAAAAAAAAAAAATGTTATAGAACCATAGGAAATCTGTGTAATAACACACACTTATGGCAATGGCTGGTACAAACGTGGCTATACAGTAAAAGTACATTTTTAGCTAAAGTTAACCCGTCTATGATTTTTAGGCTGTCTCCACATGATAAATAGTGTGAGCTGAACTTCCATATTTATATAAGAGTACATTCAGTCATACAGTTTGTCAATTAATTTGATTGACCAGTGATGTGTAGTCAGCCAGACCCAGCTGCTTATGATAATGCCTTGTTAGTTCCCTCGCTGCCTAACATACGCCTAAAACTTCTCTTACCTTCTCCTCTTGTTTCTTTTCCACCTCCCCTCTGCTCTAAACCCTCTGACATTATATCATTACATGTCTTTTCCCCCATATATTTTCCTGCCATTTTTATTTTGTTTTAAAGTTTATTCCACTTCCTTTCCATCTCACTTCCAAACGTTGTGCCCACAAACTCTACCCTCCATCCACACATGCCCCCCCCCCCCCCCACCTCCCCTCTTGTTTGCGTAGGCCTGACCAGTCAGGGCGATGGTCAGGGGGAATCGGAGGTTCTGGATTGGTTAGAAGAAGTGGAAGAGGGCGGCTCTGATTGGTTAGACAGTTTCTTCACTTTCCTGTACGGTCTGATAAACCCCCTGGAACACCTGGAGGAGGAGCAGGAGGAGTACCGTGCCTCAGGAGGACTCTACGAGGCACAGGAGGACGACGAGGAGGACGAAGATGACCGGGGGGTCAGAAAAAGAGGAGCAAATGATAATGGATATCAGGGCCAGAAGATTGTCATAGTCGGCCTACATAACCAATAGCCTCTACTCAACTGCAGCAGCCCGTTTATCCTCGAATGCAATTTCCAACTGCAGGGTGCAAACAGATACATCGACAAAATCATTTTTCTGCTGACTTTAGAGAGTTTTGGAAACTTGACCAAGCTAGTCTCTTTAGATATGAATGTCCAGTCCAACATTGTGTTATAAGCTCAACCAATCAAAGGTTTTAAAAAAAGATATTGTCAAATTTGACAAACGAGCTGGGATATGAACACGATACTCAGGAACACTTTTTTTTAGAACATATATTTCTTTGGCACAAATGTGTTAAAACTATTAAAAACATTGAATGCAATTTCCACTTGGACAGCTGCTCCACTGTCCCTTTCTCCTATTGCTGCATGCAATGAACACATCCTCAGCCTTTCCTCGGACCCTTAACACATAAAGTGTGTCTGGATGAGAACAAATTGGATTTATAAAGCTGACCTCCTGCCAACATCTGGAGGTGGACTAGCGTTTATAGTGATGGTTCTCTGCCACAAGTAATTGATGCAATCTATTTTAAAAGTTAAGGTTGAGTATGCAGGCTTATTCCAGGAGGGAAATAGGGGGCCTTGGACTCATAAATGGCGCAAAGTTTTTTAATAATAGAGTCAAGCTTCATATTATTTGTCTTATGCTATTACTCTGCTAGATAACAGCATATATAACTTATTTTTTTAAATGGCAGACATTGACATGCCATAGCATTTTAGGGCCATTCCACAAAATGGAACCAAGCCATTGTAAATGTTTTTAATTTCATGTGCTTTTCTTACTATGTCTTAATTCCCACGCTGCCTAACGTATGCCTAAAACGTACCTTCTCTTGTTTCTCTCCCGCCTCCCCTCTGACTAGTCAAAATGCTGATTTGATTTAGATCCCTTGGTTCCATTCTTCTTTTTTACATATAATGCACATGTCTTACTCATGTGATTACTTAGTTATCAGCCATGAAGCCAACTTGTTTTGTTTAGTTCAGTTTGTGGCTGTGCACAAGTAGAATACACTCATGTTCTATTGGTACCCCTCCAGTTTGTTTCTGTTCTGTGTGAACAATGAGAGAACGGGCAGGTGATGCAGAGGAGAGGCACGTTTGATCCATTAAGCTTCACTCTATTATGACACGGGGTGTGTGTAATGAACTTGATGGCTGTTGAATGCATGGAAGAAACCTGATGAAGAAATGGGTTCTTCCTGCTCTGGATTCAAGCTACAGCTTTTCTAAAGAATCATCTACATGATGCTATTGATGCACAAAAACAAACACTGGAAGATGAGTGACTAACATCATTCCATATCCACTCTAACAGGACCCTAACCCATTCCTTTTTTTAAATAAAGAAATAAAAAGAACAAGCTTCTAAATAAAGTATTTCTAAGGACGAGGATAACAACATGAACTGTGCGCTCCTTCATGGCACAGAAACAGCAGATGAGCGATGACTTTTCTTTTAACTGTGACAGTGAGCGCATCGTCTCGAGGCTTAGGTGAGCTGCTGACTGTGTCCGTTTGATGTGAGCCATAGTTCATATTAACACAATTCTTGTTCCTGGTAATTGCCATGACTGCTTTATGATAGAACTGAGGCATCCTATGAAAAAGGACTATACCATGCGCTCGTCAGATTCTGCACAGCTGAGGTTGAGTTTATCTCCTTGATGTATGGCCAAGTTAAGACGACATAACAACAGTGGCTTCTGCGACAGAATCAGTGTGGTTTGCTTCAGCTCGAGGCTGAGATATGCTTTATTGTGCAACTGGTGGCGACTTGTGTTAATGGACTGATCTCTACAAACAGTGTGACCACTACAAAGGTATAACCTGGAAACTGTCCCAGTGTTGTAACTTCTTGTTTGTTTGCAACATCAGATGAGAAAGCTGGAGGAGCAGCCGCCGGGGCAGGATCAGAGAGAGGTATCCTCCTGCAGCATGTGCTCTTGCACTGGGCCACACTAATGGAATAAGATCCAACCTCTCACAAAGCTTGTTAATAATCATGGAGTTATTAACCCGATTTTTCAAGTGAAGATTGACTTAAAAATGTCTGATTAGAACACCACTAGGGTCAACATGGGTTTCTCTTCAGTACACTAATGTTGGTCATATTTTTAACAAACCGGTGTAAATCCGATTTTGCATCCGTTTTAAATTGAGTAACATACCAGTGTGATGTAGAAGTCTACTCACTGCTTGGAGGTGAACGCAACAGTATGGAATGAACCGATTTCTGGTTCTGCACATGCCTGTTCCGTGCGTGCTGTTTTCCAGTAACTGAGTGAATTTGAGCATGGTCTTGGTCAGTCTGGAAGTGGTGAACATCCAACAATTTGTTGCCCATCCATTCCCAGAATCCTATCCAACTAAGGATGTGGGCAGGAAGCTTCGTGAGGCTCTGAAGCAGCAGCTGACCATCATCCACGAACGTGTGGAGGCCAAGAAGATCGCCAAGCTGGCTCTGGCTGAGGTCAGACAGCTCCTGGCCAAAGAGGAGGAGGAGAAGAAGCTGGAGCTAGGGAGAGACGAAATAAGAGCCAGAGTGAAGGAACGAGTTGCAACGAGACTGCAAGTGGAAGAGGAGAATATGGAGAAAGAAGAGATGAAGAAGGCTCTGGAGAAACTAAGGAAGGAAAAAGCAAAACAAGTGGATGAGGAAATCAAGGAGGAGAAAGAGGAGAAATCCGAGAGTAATAGGGAGGGGGAGGTAAAGAAGGCACAGGACGAAGACAAGTTGAGAGGGAAAGAGAATGCCAAAGACAAACGAAAGGGGAGCAAAGCTGAGAAATCTGCCAGAAAAGGCCAGAAATGAAGAGAGATGATATGATGGTCGAAACACTGTTATTGGCACTATACATATTTCAAATGATGCCAGAGCTGTGTGTTGAACCTTTTCAACAAAAGGATCTTATAAAGTAATTTTCTAGCTAAAAAGGCTTGTGTTGGTCAATAGACTAGCGGGAGTGACTTTTAAGGGACTGCAATAACCTTTAACAAAAGATAAATAGGCTGTAGTGAGCTGGCACAGTTGCTACACGTTTGGGGAATTATTTGGGAATAACAAGTAATAGTTTGATTTGTTTTGGTCTGTACTGTTTGTTAAAGGATAAAAAACTGCATAATGCAAAACAAGCACTGACATTTCTTTTTCAGTATGATATGTAGTTCTAATGATGTTTACATTTTTGAGCTTTTCTAAATGTAGGGGGATTTGTGTTCATAACCAATTATGTTTTATTTTATTTTGTCAATAAAGTTTTATGATCCCTGCAAGTGCTTCCTTTCTAATGTGAACTCCAATCTTCTGTCTGTGGAATCGCTGGAGTGCATGTTGGCAAGACGCACAGCAAATCAGATCAAACTATGGACCCGCATGACCTAAGGCCAACAGCCAGTTTAGGCAATCAAAATAACTGTTGAAATGCAACACAAACGTTGAGCCTAAGCCTATTCTAATAACTACAGAGTTCATGAGATATCTGATCAAACTCGATTATGTCCGCTAAAGAAACCCAATGTCCTGTTGAGAAGCTTCCGAAGGTTCTTCCAAGGTCCTGTACAAGTTCCTCTCTGATACACCACATGTCCCACTATTTAGTTTCTTCTTCATAAGTGTGCATCACTATCATACATGTGGCATATTTAAATCCAGATGAATTAATAATTAATTAGGGATGCACCGATGCTACATTTCTTGGCCGATGTTAAGAATAACAATTTGGCCAATACCGATGTTTTAATGTAATTTTTTTCCACTGTTGTTATTCCACTTTCTGCCAGGAAAAACAAATTCTCGCAAAATGGTTTCAATTTCAAAGGCTGAGCAAGTTCGTTATAACATCATAGTACCCCGTTTAGAAAGTACGCAGTGGATGACCTGCATCTGCCCGCTGTGAGGGGACCGGTGAGCGGAGCAAAACACACCTTTAGAGTTAGACCTATCACACTTAGCTATTTTATCTACCTCTGAAGCTACCTACACTAGTTATGAATATATTTTTTCTTTACTGTCGGATCACTCATTACTGGATCGGCGAGCTGCATGAGACGGATACTGACGGGCTGTCAGGAGAGAGAGGGAGGGAGAGAGAGCGCCCCGTTTATTATACCCGGGCCGTGTCAACGGAACACTTTTTGCAAATCGCGGATCTCTGGGTGAAATAGTCCCCCACTGCCGACATGTTTTTTATTTTTATTTTTAATATATAAACGAACTACGGGTGCCGCAGATGTTATGACGGAACGCACAAAAAAATAACAAAAGCATCGTCGACTGCCATCGGTGAATGTCACATCATTTGCCGATGGCAGTAAATAGGGCGAACATCGGCCGATGTCTGGCCGATGTATCGGTGCATCCCTATAATTAATTAATATGATCTGATATGTTTTCAGTAGGACAGAAGACTCAGTTATGGTTATGTATCCTGTGTCTATAATGTACATGTATATTGTGGCAGCAACATGTGCATTCATCTCTGAACCTATCACTGGTCCTGCCTGACTCTCATCATCCTACTTCCCTGATGGCTCCCACAGGATTGTTGACATCCTCGTGGATTCATCTTCTTATTATAGACACATGCATTTCCAAACATTTGGACTACCTATGTTGTAAATGTATTATCTTTTCAATTTACACACGGCATCTATTGCACGTCTGTCCGTCCTGGGAGAGGGATCCCTCCTCTGTTGCTCTCCCTGAGGTTTCTCCCATGTTCCCCTTTAAACTGTGGGAGTTTCTCTGGAAGTGTTTCCTTGTACGATGTGAGAGTCTAAGGACAGAGGGTGTCGTATTGTCATAGTGATATTCTGTACAAACTGTGAAGTCCACTGAGACAAATGTAACATTTGTGATATTGGGCTATATAAATAAACATTGATTGATTGATCTCATGTAGGGCTGAAAGAGAAGGCTGTGGTGGTAACCTCCCGTAGCGAAGAAGCTGCCTTCCCAGTGAAGATTCCGGAAGCTGAACCCGCCCCACCAGGTACCTCACATGTTCTTTATACTTAATGTTCCTCACAGGAACATGTTGATAGGACATGGTCACAGGTGACAGGTTTCAACAGCATGGCTGGCTCATCAGTATCTGTTATCTCTAACACTGAACACATATGGATACCACCACAAATGCTGTGCACTGGAAATGTAGGGTGGAGAAGAAGTTAAATTACGTCCCGGTGGGTTGTGTCTTGCAAAAAGATATGCTGTTGGATGACATGTTTACAGTTCTACTGAGATGTTGGCTGTTAAAGCTTCCCTTGTTGTATATCGATTATTGATGATCTGAAACATCTCCCATGTTTTTAAATGTATTGTCATTTCCATTCAGTGACATGTGGCCAATAAAGGACCACTCTTGAGCGTTGAGTTTGATCGGACATAACGTAACATATCCGCCCCCTCTCCACAGCTGTTTTTGAGCCTGAACCTGTGGATGTAGTTGAAGCTGCTGTAGCTGAGGACACCTCTGCACCTCCAGCAGGTACCTCAGTGTGAATGGGTGCTAATGTTTGCATGTGACAAGAGCTAGAAAATCATTCCTCAATTCAGGCAGTTAGAAAAAGCAGAGAACAGATTTCTGGTTCAATATAATGTGTATTTTCACGAGAGAATAGATGGAATATTCTGTTCTCTTTTCTTGATATCGTATGTATGAAATGTCGTCTTTGGGAACTCTATAATCAATGCGTTTTAGATCCAGGTGTGGAAGGAAGCATTAGGCAGTGAGAAACATTTCTACCATCTTTTTTTGTGTCTTTTTCACGAACTGAAGATGTCTCAAATGGACTTCAGAATAAAGGCTGGGCTTGAACTGTGACGTGTGTAAATCTCTCCAACCCTCTCATCCTCCTCCAGAGCCTGAACCAGAGGAAGCTCCCGAGGTGGAACCTGAACCCGAGGCAGAACCTGAACCGGAGGCAGATCCTGAACCAGAGGCTGAACCGGAACCCGAGGCTGAGGAGGCTGAGGAGGTTGGTACAGGCCAAGTCTTATTTGATAAAACATGCAGTGATTAGTGTGGCCCTTCAGGTAATCAGTTCTATATCATACTCCTATGTAGTCTGGTCACTAAAGTAAACCTGTTAATGGCATTTGGGGGATCATTATGTTTTCAGGTTATTGAGGAAGATCCAGAGGTGCTAGAGGAGGAGCTTCCTGCTGTGGAAGAGGAGGCCCCTGTGGAGGAGGCCCCTGAGGTCTGTAGCTATGATCATTTGCGTTCCATCCCTGATTGACAGATATATGCTGATGTTTTTCTAACCGCTAAAATAAACATTCTTTGACAATATTGCTTGATCCAGGCTGAACTGGTAGAGGAGGTGGAAGAGATGATGGCAGACCAGCAAGAAGAGGAGGCTGCAGCTGAAGAGGAAACGGCAACAGAACCAGCTGAGGAGGAGGAGGAGGAGGAGGAGGAGGAGGAGGAGGAGGAGGCCGCTGAAGAGGCTGTGGAGGAACCTGTGGCAGAGGTGGAGGCTGCATTTGAAGACACCGAGGAAGAGGCTGCTGCTGAACAGGTGGCATCAGAAGTTGATGCGGAAGAGGAAGCTGTTGAGGAGCCTGCTGAAGAAGATGAAGCTGCTGAAGAGCCCGCTGAGGAAGAGGCAGCACCTTTAGAGGAGTCTGCAGAAGAAGCTGTTGAGGATTTAGCCAAGGAAGAGGAGGCAGCACCTTCAGAGGAAGAGGAGGCAGCACCTCTAGAAGAAGCTGTTGAAGAAGAGGCAGCACCATCAGAAGAAGAGGAGGCGGCACCATCAGAAGAAGAGGAGGCAGCACCATCAGAAGAAGTTGTGGAAGAAGAGGCAGAGGCAGAGGGAGAGGAGGCAGCACCTACAAAAGAAGCTGTGGAGGAAGAGGCAGCACCTGTGGAGGAAGAGGCAGCACCTGTGGAGGAAGAGGCAGCACCTACAGAAGAAGCTGTGGAGGAAGAGGCAGCACCTGTGGAGGAAGAGGCAGCACCTGTGGAGGAAGAGGAGGCAGCACCTGTGGAGGAAGAGGAGGCAGCATCTTCAGAAGAAGCTGTGGAAGAGGAGGCCGACACAGAGGCAGCTCCAGAAGAAGTAGAAGAGAGAACAGAGCCAGGTAAAGCAGGAGTATGATACTGTCCAGAGACCCAGTGTGTGACGGTGACTCCCTTCCAGTTAGAGGAGTGTTAGATCATTACATTAGAGGGGAACTCCTCAGACTAGTGAAGACATTAGATAGATCATTCTATACCATACCAAAGTGTTTCAGTGCTTTAAGAGGCTGTGGTAGGTTTTAGCCAGTTCAATGGTAACTTCCTTGAGATGACACTTACCGTCCCCCTTTCCCCTCATCCCCAGCGGTTGCAGTAAGGGGTGTATCTCTTATATATATATTGATGATCTAAAAGAAGAATCATCTGTTTGACATTTTGTGAGGCTCAGTGAAATCTATGGATTTTGGTCCATACTGAAGTGTGTGGAAGTATGCCAGTGTACATTATTATCTTTGTTTAATACACTGCATAGGTCTGGGAAATGTCCTCTTACTGAACACGGTGTGGTGGCTGTTTGCAAGGCGCCTCGTAGCAAACACTTTGTTAATGCTTTCAAATGTCTTTGTTCCACCTTCAGAGGCAGAAGAAGAAGCACAGGAAGTAGAGGAGGCAGCAGAAGAAGGTGGGCACAATCGCACACGCCTTCCAACCGTAGGATGGATGCACTGTGCATAAATGGGGCCACGGGCTTTGTGAGGGGATAACATTACAATATGTTTAAGATCTCGTGGATTTACTTGTGCATCTTTGTCTCTTTCTGCAGCAGCTGTGTTTGAGACAGAGGAACAGATCCAGGATGAGCCCATAGGTAAACATTGTTTTTATTCACATTCATGCTCATCGGGAGGATTTCTATTGTATGTGTCCGCCACTGCTGAGTGAACAGGACACACATCTATACCTTAGGAAGCTGAAAGGAGAGAATGTTTGGTATATATGAATAAACATCACAATTACTGGTATCCATCGATCCATCTTCATTGGCTTACCCAAAGTCGGGTCGCGGAGGTTAGGGTTAGCAGTTCCAGCAGAGGGCCCCCAACTTCTCTGTCTCAGCTCTCTCTTCATCATAACGGTGTAGTAGAGCACCTCGGATTCTCCAGCCCATTCAATGCTCCAGCATCCCCTTACTCAAGAAAAAGATCCCAATAACTTGAACTCATTAGCCGCGTTCACACCGGAGTACTTTTCACCGTACTTTTCGCGCTTAGTTCCGTTAGTACCCCTTATGTCGCGTTCACACCAAAAAGAGCACTTAGTGCCGGGAACTTTTACCCCCATTTTTAGTGCCTGCTGAGAGATGGTACTTTCCTGGGGGAAAAAAGTGCCCCAGTTCTGATTGGCTGGGCGAATTGCAAACCATGCCCCGTACAACTCTGAAATGTTTTGTAGAGCCGCCATTTGATTATCCTCGCATTAGCATTAGCATTCGCCCAGCGCACAAACGCAGAGAGACTAACTTATGGCAACACAAAATAAAACATGGGAGCGGTGGAGATGAGGAGGTGTCGGCGTTCTGGCGATTTACTCGGAAGGCTTCAGTAGAAGCTGCTGGGAGTCCCAGCACATTCTACTGAAGCCAGTCCCCAACTCCGGGGACTTCCGGCCGGGGACTCCGGGTGGCAGTATACACCGTGAAGTTGTTTGCGGCCTGCCAGTAAACCCAAAGCAGAAGAAGACGAAGTGACGTCAGCGGCACATTTGCGTAATCTTCCCTCAGGAAAAAGTACTCCGGTGTGAACGCGATCTGTACTAAATGCCCTGGGGTAATAAGTGCCGGGGCACTGAGTGCCGGCACTAAATACCGCAAAGTACTTGGTGTGAACGCGCCTATTAAGGACTCATTCACTTAGGGTAAGGACACAATTCCCTACGTGGAGTAGACAGTCAGTTGGTTTCCTGCTGAGACCCATGGCCTCTCTGAAGGTCGCAGTCCGATGACGCCATCAGAAGCACATCATCAAAAGCAACCCCCCCGACTATGCCTAGAGATCCTGTCCACGAATATCACAAACAGGATTGGTGACAAATGGAGCCCTGGCGGAGGCCAAGCCTCACCTGAAACTAGTGTGTCTTACTGCCCAGTCCCGTACACAGCTCTCACTTTGGATGGCCCTGCAGTGTTGTCAAGACAACCTACATCCTCTAGTTGATACATCTGAGATCAGCTGGTTGTGGATGCTAACAAGAAAGTGGTTGTTTTAATTTTCAATGAGCCTCAACCGACAATGTTTTCTTTCTTTTTATTGTGGTTATTCTAAAGTTGGTATTAAATATTATTCTATGTAAGCTGTATGAACCCTGGTTGCATCAGTAGCCTCAACTTCCTGTTTGTGCTCTCCATAGAAACGTAGAGCCTGCCGTGGTCGTCGTGGTGACGGAGAAGGGACCCACTGACCTTGCGTCAGCACCGTCTGAGCGCGATGATGCACCTCTCCACCTCCAGAGAAACAATTGAGTCGTCATGACAACACTCTCCCCATCCCTATGTTTTCACACCTTCCATAAACTTTCCTTTTGCTG